TCCCCACTGTATGTTTGTGGCACTTTTGTTGAAGATAAGTTCACTGTAAATGTGTGGATTTATTTCTGGGTACTCTAGTTCGTTCTATTGGTCTATGTGTCTGTTTTTATAATAACAGCACAGTTTAGTTATAGATCATTTTAAAGATACATTGAACATAAAGAAAAATCACAATTTAACCCCTTAGCAATAAGCCCAGTGAACATTTTTTTCCATCTAATATGTTCTAAACAGTTTTTCATGGGTACAGAAACTTTTGAAAATACAATTTGGAATAATGAAATACCGTTTCGATATATATGGAGATAGCATAATTTTATTATGACTTATTTATCTACTTTTCCATTAGGGGACATGATGATTGCTTCTGATTTTCAATGTTAAAGTGATACTTGCATGAATCTTTGCCGATGATTACTTCTTAGTATAAATTTTCAGAATTGGAATTACATGGTTAAGGAGTGTAATGATTTTTATGGCCAATGATGTGTAATTCCAAATTGCCTCCAAAAATATATAAATGAATTTATATTTTCATCAGCAACATATGAGAGTGCTTATTTCCCCATGCATTTGCCAAGGCTGGAATTCATCTTTTTTTTTTTTTTCTGAGACAGGGTCTCACTCTGTTGCCTGGACTTGAGTGTAGTGTGGCATTGTTGTAGCCCACTGCAATCTCAAACTCCTGGGCTCAAGTGATCCTCCTGCCTCAGCCTCCCGCGTAGCTGGGGACAAGAGGTGCATGCCATCACATCTGGCTAATGTTTTCTATTTTTTGTAGAGATGGGGTCTCACTATGTTGCCCAGGCTGGCCTCGAATTCCTAGGGACAAGTGATCCTCCCACCTCAGCCTTCCAAAGTACTAGGATTACAAGTGTGAGCTATTGCATCTGGCCTGGAATTTATAATTTTTAAGAAACTTCATGTTTTTATGAAACTAAGAGTAGTTTGTCAGTTTGTATTTCTTTGATTTGTAGGAAGGGTGACATTTTGCATATATATTTATTGGATACCGTTAGTTTTGGGGGGATATATTATCTACTCATGTTTATTTATCACCCCTCAAAAAATGACTTTTTAAAATTTCAAACACTCTATTAAAAATAGTTTTTAATAGATGAACTTTGATAAAATTGTGGATTATTCAGAATTTGCCTTTTCATACTCTTCCTCCTCCAGATTTTCCTACTTAATACTATTTTGCCTTCATGTAAATTTGAAGGAGGCAGAGGAAAAGGGAGGGGAAGGAGGAATAGGGAGAAAAATATGAGATTATCAATGTGAAGCTCTTAGTACTGTGCTTTGCATTTATTAAATACTTTATAAAAAATCTTATTATTGACGCTGCTATTATTGTTATTACCATTAAAATTTACTTGTTTTCTATTGGATTTCTGTAGGACCCTACTTTTTAGGATTCTAGCTGTTTGGGTTCTAGAGTCAGGCAGATCTGGCTTTAATTTACTGCTTTACTACTTAAAAGTATAACTTTGAACAAATTTCAAATTTGCTATCTCTCTGAGCCTCAGTTTCTGCCTTTCTAAAATGGAAATAATACTTATCTCATGGGTTTATTGTCAGGGTTAAATGTGAGAATGAATGTACTATTTAGCTCAATGCTAGTACTTAGTAAACAGTCAATTGATGTTTATATTTTAAAGGATATTGTTGATTTAATGGGTTAAATCTCACCGACTGTGATTTTTTTATTGACAGTATCTTTCTGAAAATCATGGTTAAATTAAAGAAGTTACTTCAGTGGTGGGGATTTTAGACAGTGTCTCAGGAGGTAGGGAAAGCTGTTTGAGTAAGAAGCACATTTTGTTACTTCTTGATATTTGTCCTTTCTGTGCATGGTGGAGATGAAGAAGCCTATAGAAAGTTATTATATTTTTGAAAATGAAGAAGAGAATTCACTAATATAGACAAAAATTTCATATGAAAGTTCCACTATTCTTAAGCATGAAGCTCTCCCCTTAATAACTGCCACTATTGGGGTGCATTTTGAATGGTGAAAACATGATAAAAAATAACTTAATAGATTAATAGGAGGGGTCCAAAAAATTAGTAAATAATGCCATCATTGGCTTTTTCTTTTCCTAAAGCAAATCCTTTAGGGACATGACTTGCTAATGAAGATGGAAAGGCTGATTTATCTTATTCTAGGTTCTGGTATAATAGGTTATGATTAGTCTCCAGAGTTCCCTGCCACATAGTATTGCAAGCTTAAAGGTTTTTATTGATAATGTTTTTCAAAAGTCATAGGAAGACTACTATATAAATAATATTTGGCTAGTTAATGCTCCTCCTTCTGATACTCAACAGACTTCAGACTTTGGTAAATTATAAATAACTGAAACAAATGAAAAAAGACAGGGACAAGAGCATCACTTAGCTCATTACTTGTTAAATAATTATTAACATGGTCTTCATGGTAATTTGTGTTTTGTGACTTTCAATTAAGGGCAACCTGCAATTCTTGGTGATTTTGTTTGGCTTAAAAACTTACATTTTTATTTTGTTTTGTTCCTTAAATAAAAACCATTGTTGTTTTTTTTCTTATTTTATATAAATTGTTATGTAACTTAGGATAAATTGCTTAAGTGCTTCTCAGATATTTCTACAAAAATATCCCTAAGAACAGAGTTTATTACTGCCTTTTGGGAAGTTTGGCCAGAGCTGGCTATTGTGACTGGGAGAATTCTTTTCTAAACTTAGTAATTCATGTGAATTTTACATTTTACTTACTCTATAACATATTGGTATTTGTTTTAATAACATGATTCAGGTTACTTTTCAGTGAGCAAAACCGATACTGCAGGAAGATGTATCATGTTTTTTACTGTGGTTTGGGTTTCTTGTCTATCACTGCCTCTTTGCCAAGAGGTTCGCCTATCAGTTTGGGAATTACTGCCTTCGGGTATCGCTTTGCCTTTTGCATAAATCTCAAATGGTGGGCTGGCTAGAAGGTTATAGAGGATCTTTTGCAAAGGCTTGATCCAGGACTTATCTCGGATCACAGTGAAGCTATTTAATAGTTACCCTTTTTCTTGCCTTCTTTCTGAAAAGAATATGGCCATTTCAGAAAAAGGCTTGGTAGTGAATCGTAGTTGCATTATTTTTGCTAACTGTGTGCCCTTAATCCTTCTAAGGGCCTGTGTCCTTGTTTATAAAATTGAAGTAATGATGCAGTTGTTTCATCAGGCTATTTTGAGGATACATAACACAACATATGTAAAGGGCTGAGTGCATAGAAGGCTCTCAGATATTGATTTTCCCTCCTTATCCCCACTTCCCACGACTTCCCCTTGAAAGCCTGAGACAGCAGAACTAGAGCAACTTCTGACTGGTTAAGGTGCCTCAGGGGTGGATCCCCATGACTATCTAAGGTGAGTATTGGTGATCTTAGTCCGGCCCTGTTCCTGTGATGGTGGTAGCTGATTCAGGCAGGTGGAGGTTTTCTTTTAAAATAGCTCACACACTTTTTAGCAGTGAAGACAGAAAGAAGCAGAAGTATAGGATATAAATTTTGGAGATAGCATTGAAGGACTTGCTAACAAAATATGGTATAAGGAAAAGAAAGAAGGCAAAGATGACTTTGATGTTTCTGTCTTTAGTATCTGACAAGGGAAGGAGAGGGAGGAAATCAAGAGTTCTGTTTAAGAGACATTCAGTTTCAGATACCTCTAATAGACTCAAGGGGAGATATAAAATAGGCATATTTAAATCTGGAGCTCAGAGAAATCAGGGCTGGAAATAAAAATTAGGAATTATCAGCATCTAAATGACATTTAAAGCCATGGCATAGGATGAGATCTCTATTTCTCATGTGTAGTTTATGTGAAAGAAGAGGGCCTGTCATGGAACCCTAAGGAATTGCAACATTTAGGGAGTGAGCAGAAGAACCAACAGAGGAAACTAGGAGGAAGTTCAGTGCAATAGGAGCATAACCAGAAGAGTGTAGCGTCATTGAAGCTAAGAAAGAAGACTGTTTCAATAAAGGGTGACAGTCATCTGTGTCAAAGGCAAGTGAGAGGTTGAGTAAGATGATTTCAGAAAAGTGACTATTGCATTTGGCAATATGGAAGTATTGGCTTTGATAAGTGGTTTCAGTGGAATGGTGCTGCCAGACACTATATTTATATGAGTGGAAGAGTAAAGCGGGGAGGAAGTTTGAGGAAGTGGAGGGTTAACCAAGTTTGGGGTGGGGGACGGCATTTTTAGAGAGGTATACTTGGGAAGGGAAGAAGAGAAATGGGATGATATTTATTTTTATTTTTAATGTATTTTGTAGAGATGGGTTCTCCCTATGTTGCCCATGCTGGTCTAGAACTCCTGGTCTGAAGCAATCCTACTGCCTCAGCCTCCCAAAGTGCTGGGATTACAGGCATGAGCCACTGTGGCTGGCCGATATTTCATATTTTACATTACTTGGTATTGTTCCTGACTTATTCCAAACCTGTGAAAAGGAGGCATTGAAGGGCACATTTTCTATAGCTAAACTTCAAGTTAAAAGTCAACTATGTAGTATAGAACTTGAATTTCATTTTTAGCCTTGTTAGAACATGACAAACAATACCTTCTGCTAAAATCTTTTCTGGTCAAGTTATTAAGATTCTATTATTAACTAAGATATGATACTGATTTGTTATAATAAGCCTAACTGGATATTCAGTTCCTCTAGATTCTTACATATTTTCTGTCTGCTCGTATCAACCATTAAAAGAGGTTTTCAGCAATTATTGTGAATTTGTCTACTTTCCCGTTTTAGTCTTGTCAATCTTTGCATTATATATTTCGATATGTTGATGAGTTGTATTAGTCAGCTTTTGTTGTGTAACAAACAACCGCAGAAATCTCTGTGACATATACTACGTATAAGCATTTATTGTTTTGCCCATGGATTAGGTGTTGACCGAGGAGTTCTGCTTTAGGCTGAAGGTTCAGTTTAGTTCTGCTTTATGTGTCTTTGTTTTGCAGCCCCTGATGATGAGGCAAGACTATCTGAGACATTCTCTCTTTATGGTGTATCTGTGAGCATAAGACTTAATCCAAACTGTGCAAATACATTTAAGGTCTCTGCTCATGTCATGCTTGCTTTCTTTTTCTTTTGCAAGAAAATACTTTGTAATGTTTTTTAAAAATATACTGGAGAACCATGCAATGCTGCCAGCATTGGACGCAATCCTGGGCCACAAGTCTGCACACTCCTTTGCAACAGGTCCTGTAATGGCAGAACCTTTCATCTCGCCTTTATTATTTACTGTGACCCCTGCATTATCTTCAAAGTAGAGAAACACACCATCTTTTCTCTGGTATGACTTTCGTTGTCAAATTACCACTGCCGGATATACCTTTTTTCTGATCTCTGGTTTGCCTTTCTTAACTGTGGCCATCACCATGTCACCCACACCAACAGTGGGAAGTCTGTTCAGTCGTCCCTTGATCCCCTTCACAGAGATGATATACAGATTTTTGGCTCCTGCGTTGTCAGCACAGTTGATCATGGCTCCTACCAGAAGACCCAGGGAAATCTGGAATTTCACCCTGGAGGACCCACCACGTCCTTGCTTCAACATCTTGAATGCAGGAAAAGGACAGAAAAAGCCATGTCATGCTTTCATGTCATGTTACTTGCATTAGCTATTGCTCCTTAGCTATTGGCTAATGCAAGTAACATGGCCAAGCCCAACATTTAAGAGGGTGGGGAGAATACTTGAAGTAAGATGTGAAGGGAAAAGTATATTTGCTGAATAATAACCCAGTTTATCATGTGGGTAAATATAGATTTAGAATTCTGATATCCTCTTGCTGGATTAACTTTTAAAATTATTCTGAAGTAATTACTGTTATTGCTACTATTATTATTTTAAATTATTCCTATTATTGCTATTTATTACTATGAAATGTCTCTGTAGCTATGCCAGCCTTCTTTTCGTTCGTGTTTACATATTTTATCTTTTGGTATCCTTTTACTTTTGATCTTTCTGTGTTTTTAAGTGTCTTTTCTATAAATCACATACTGGGTTTGTTTCACTTTTTTTTTTCAATAAGAGCTTTATTGAGATATAATTCATGTACCATGAAATGTACCTCTTTAATGTATATAATTTAGTGGTTTTTAGTATATTCATAGGGTATTGCATGTATCACCACTATTTAATTCCAGAACATTTTTATCATTCCAAAAAGAAACTCTATACCCATTAGTGGTTCACTCCCCATTCTCCGTCTCCCCATTTCACCCTCCAGCCTCTGGAAACAACTAATATACTTTCTGTCAGTATGGATTTGCCTATTCTGGATATTTCATATAATAGAATCATACAATATCTTGTCTTTTGGGCCTGGCTTCTTTCACTTATGTTGTTTTTTAGGTTCATCCAAGCGATAGCCTGTATTAGTAGTTCATTCCTTTTTAGTGTTTTTTTCTTGCTATTGCTTCAATTCATTATTTTCTGTTGACCTGCTTTCTAGTTCATCAATAATCTGCTGTTAAACTCATCTATTTAGTACTAATTTCAGTAGTTTTTCAGTCCTTTCAGTTAATTAATTAATTAATTAATTAAGAGACAGAGTCTCTGTTGTCCAGGCTGGAGTACAGTGGTACAATCACAGCTCTCTGTAACCTCGAACTCCTGGGCTCAAGTGATCCTTCTACCTCAGCCTCCTGAGTATCTAGGACTATAGGTATGTGCTACCATGTCTGGCTATATTTCCATTTATATTTTTAATGTATTTTAATTCTCTGCTGTAATTTTCAATGTTTTCCATCTGTTTCTCAGTTTTCTTGAACATATTAATCATGGTACTATAAAAGTTCTGATTTACTAACTCTATTTTCTGAGTCACCTGAGATTCTCTCTTGTTTTTTCTCATGGTTGTCTGTCATGTAATTCTTTTTTGGCATACCTCATAGTAGACATTGTATATAAAAATTCTTGAGTCTACAGATAATGCTATTTTCTAGAGAAGTTCACTCTTTCCTCTGCTAGGTAGATAGAGTGGGAGTTTATCACTTTAATCCAGTTAAGGATTGAGTTAAGGGCTAGTGTGCGGAACTTTTGACCAAGAGCTCTGTGTTCTCCAGGCCTGCTTGCCCTGATGGGTTCTGAACTCTAATTCTTGTCTCCTCACCATTCGGAGACTGCTGAAAACTTTCTCCTGCTTTTCAAAGGCTTTATGCTCAGCCTCCTATCCTGCACAATTTGGCAAATGTCTTGAGGGGAAAGCTGGCTGTGTGTCAGGCTTCATTCTCTACCTCTCTCTCCTCTCTGGGATCTCAGCCCCTTAAGATTCTAATTTTGTTTTACTATCCCTAAGAGACAACCAAAGCTCTGCTTGTTTTTATGTTTTCCAGAAGCAGTCTTATATCTGGGGGAAAGCCTGGATGGATTCTCAGCCTTTTGACCTTGGCCCAGAATTAGCAATGCCCCAGGAGAAAGAGGGGCAGTGTAGTATCTGCTCACTTCTGTTTTCTCCTCTCTGGAATCTTGGCTTCTCTAATCCTAGGTGCTTAATCAGCTCTGTCTGATGCCATTAAACAGATTGTTTTAAGAAATATATTATTTGGATTTTTAGTGGGTATTTTAGTGAGTATTTTAATTTTTTTTTTTAGAAGGAATCTTGCTCTGTTGCCCAGGCTGGAGTGCAGTGGCATGATCATAGCTCACTATAACCTCTAACTCCTGGCTCTAGTGATCCTCCCTCTTCAGCCTCCCAGGAGACTGGGACTACAGGGGTGTGCCACCACACCTGGCTAATTTTTAAATTTTTTGTAGAGATGGGGTTTTGCTGTGTTGCCCCAGCTGGTCTTGAACTCCTGGCCCCAAGCAATCCTCTTGCCTTGGCTTCCCAAAGCACTGGGATTACAAGCATGAGCCTCTGTGCCCAGCCTTAATAGTCACTTTGAATGAGTTTGCATTTAGTATGTTATGAAGTATTGAAACAATGCTGGAGAAGTGAAGAGCTGAAAATATTTTCTCCCTACATCCCTAGCTAGAGTAGTTGGAATGTTGCTTTAGTAAGAATTCAGTAAATATTATACATTCAAGAAATTTGAATGACTCTGAAGTTTTTTTAACTGGGATGAATTGTGGGACTCTAGGTTAACCTAGAGTTAACCCCAATTCCGGCCATTGGGAACAGAAATTCTTGAAGTCTGATGGCTGAGACATTCTGTAGCTTAAGAATTTACAAATTTTCTTTTTCTTTCTTTTTTTTTTTTTGAGACAGAGTCTCACTTTGTTGCCCTGGCTAGAGTGAGTGCCGTGGCGTCAGCCTAGCTCACAGCAACCTCAGACTCCTGGGCTCAAGCAATCCTACTGCCTCAGCCTCCCAAGTAGCTGGGACTACAGGCATGCGCCACCATGCCCGGCTACTTTTTTCTGTATATTTTTAGCTGTCCAATTAATTTCTTTTTCTATTTTTAGTAGAGACGGGGTCTCGCTCTTGCTCAGGCTGGTCTCGAACTCCTGAGCTCAAACAATCTGCCCGCCTCGGCCTCCCAGAGAGCTAGGATTACAGGCGTGAGCCACCGCGCCCGGCCTACAAATTTTCTTACCATACAGATAGCCTTGCCATTGGCTTGTATACTGTACCTAACTGGAAGTTTACTGGTCATGATTCTGTCTTCCTAGGATCTACCTAGAGTTCTCTTTCTGCATTCGTTTTCTCGGAGGGGAGGATGAATATTACTTTATTATCTTTTGTGGAGCTTTTTATTTTTCTCTTTAGATTTCTAATTATGTTGGGTATGCCAAGTCGTTAATGATGCTCTACTTTGCCTATAGTTAGGCAAAAGCTGATTGGAATAAATTCTTCAGCTACTTATTTACATTTGGTCATTTTAATATTTACGACCTATCAATTTTTGCCTTAGGAAAGATAGTTTTATCTCCTGGTTTTAGGGGTCTGTTATCACTGGACAACAAATAGAATGACAGAATTTTAGAAGTGGAACATATTAAGGAGTCCAGTAAATACTGGGAGTCAAGTAGTAGTTTGCTGAGTAGTTTGAATTATATTTGTATTAAATGAATAGTTATCATGTATCTTTGATCTTAGCTAATAGATTTAGTCTTTACAAAGAAAAATGATTGAATTAAAAAAAGATTTATTCCTTACCTTTGGCTTTCAAAGAATGCTAGAAGATTTCTGCTTTTATCCTGTATGCTTTCACATTATAGAAACTGTATGGTATGGAGTACTACTCAGCCATAAAAAAGGATGTCTTTTGCAACAATTTGGATAGAACTGGAGACCATTATCCTAAGTGAAATGTCTAAAGAATGGAAAAACAAACACCACATGTACTAGCTATTAAACTGGAACTAACTGATGCACACATGTGCACAGAGAGAAGTAAAACTCAGTGGAAATCAAACAACCTACTTAATGGGTACAATGAACACTATTTGGGTGATGGGCACACTTACAGCCGTGACTCAAGCATTACAATAGCAATCCATGTAACCAAAAACATTTGTACCCATTAATACTTTGAAAAAATAAACCCAGAAACTATAATTTTGGTCTCAATTGCCTCTGCTATCTAACTAGTCCTTAGAGAACTTGAGCTTTATAACTGTATAGTAAGTCTCTTTCAATTTGGCCAGTTTGATGCAGAGGAAAGCTGGTGGGCTCTAGAGTCAGAAACACTTGGTTTGAAAACCTAACTCTGCTGCTTAGTAATTGTGCAACCCTGGGTAAGACAGTATTATGTCTGAGCCTCAAGTATAAAATAAGTTATAATGAGTATTATTTACTCACTACACAATAGTGAGTTATAGTGAATATTTTTCTTTATTTTTTATTTTTAATTGAAAAATGAAAATTATATGTATTTATTGTGTACAATATAATGTTTTGATATATGTATACATTGTGGAATGGCTAATCAAGCTGATTAATATATATCTGCTACCTCACATACTTATCATTTTTTTGTGGTGATGAGTATTGATAACACCTGAAAACCATTATATTACCTTGGCATGTGGCACTTATTTTACAATTGAATCATTGTTTTTTCAGAACCATTCTTGTGTTTTATATTTTTAGATAGATTTTATTTTTGAAATGCTTAAATAATTCTTAAGAAGCATCTTAGTGTCTATTAGACAATCTTATGTCTCAGAAAATTCATAGCATTACCATATTAGTTCACTATATATGTTAAAATATGAACAATAAAATCATCCCTTTTCCGAATCATAAATTCACTGAAATTTTCTTGTAAATAGAAATATGTTACTATCTATTTTTATTAAAAAGATCTATAAGTTTGTTATGTAATACTTATTTTGTAATTTATAAAATTTCAGATCCTACTGCATATACCATGTCTAGTGGCTAGCTGGATATCCTAGCCTCTTATGAGAAGGGCAAAATGAAGAGATACTGAGGCTTTTCAAAGAGAGTGCTGTACTCTATTGCATTGCCCAAAGATTAACTTTCTTGACATTTACCTTAAAACCCTGAACAGTTTGGCTAGAGAGCTCTGCTATTTGCTAAACTACCTTAGTAAACAGCGTTACCTGAAACAAGACCCCACCCGAAACATTTCAGCAATATCTTT